CGTGCCTGTTGGTCACCTTTGATTGGCAGCGCGACTGGCGCGCCGAAGGCGACCAGAAGATCAGCGACCTCAAGAAGCAGTACGAGCACATCTCCACCGACGAGGCCCGCAACGTTATCCTCTTCATCGCCGATGGAAATGGCGTCAACACCAACTACGGCACCCGTCTGTTCCAGGGCCAGATGAACGGCGGCTACGGGGACGAGTTCGAGCTCTCCCATGAGAAGTGAGGGGTCGAGGCATTGGCGCGTGTTTGGTCATACTCGCAAGTTGTTTTATTGCGGACGGGATGCATGCTTGTAGCCTTTTGTTTTCATGATTGTTTTTTCGTTTCCTCCTGAATCCTGTGATGGAAACGTCGTTCTCCGTTAGCCAGCCAAAAAATGATCAAATGGCTACCCGCCGGCGACGGACTCGGGGACATTGGCTGGGATTCCTTACAATGAAGGTCCCGCCTGCAGAGAGGAAGAAAAGTAGGACCTTCTATTGCAAGACCTGTCTACAGATCGAGCACAATATGAGTGGGAAAGGGGGCCTCACTTGTGTTGCGTACCACTTTTCTTGTACCTTGCGCGTACATGCACGCTTGGACACAGAAAAGGGTGGTACATATTGCCGCCGAAAACGATAGTAGTTGAAGTTACACGAAGTTACTTGTATTCCGACCTTCTTTTCAATCCCTACATTTTTGTCACTCCCTGATGGGATGGAACGATCGTACTTCGTTTGATTTGTGCAGGATGCCCTGGGCCGGCCTGGTGAAGACGTACAACGTGAATGCACAGACCCCCGACTCTGCTGGCACAGCGACTGCGATGAACACTGGCCACAAGACCAAGGCGGTGAGTGATTCCGTTTGGACTTCATGCCGAGTTATGTGGCAACGACATGATCAAGAGAACACCACGCTTACTCAGACAGGCCAATCATCCTTCTTGGGCAACGGCGTCTCGAGCACATGTTTCATAGCCAGAGATGTTCCACGTTTCGTTACACATCACCTGACGATCCTCCTGCCACATTGAAACTTGTTTTTGATAGAAATTATCCACTTAGAGAACGCTACCGACCGGTGAATTCCCGTTCGTTCACGTGGGATGGAGGGAACTGCTGCAACTCTGTGCACAAAAGGTCGACGACAACAGTTCGGCATGACCCACTCTGTTCGACGTGCGTGGTTTTTGTTTTGTGCATCCCCATTTGGCTTATCAATACGCAGGGGGTGATCGGCGTTTCCGAGGACGTGATCCGTGGAGACTGCTCCACCCTGCCCGGCAACGAGCTGGAACTTATCGCTCAGCAGGTGCACCCTCCGAACGTGTTTCTGCGAGTTTGTTGCGACGAATGCCTATTTTCGTTGTCACACAGGCTGTACTTGACCAGATGATCTCTGAGCAGCGATGTGTTTCGAACCTAGGGTACATTCTAGCTTCCGTCTGATGTTTGATCTGGGAACACTTGACGACAGGCGAAGGCAATGAACAAGAAGGTCGGCGTCGTATCTTCCGCCCGCATCACCCACGCCACCCCAGCCGGCGTATACGCGAGAAGTGTCGACCGCAATTACGAAGCAGATGTGCCCGAGGGATGCACGGAGCAGGTCGACATCGCGCAGCAGGTTTGTTTGCGACTGAACTGAAAGTAAAGGTGGGGTGCTTTCGGTTTCAAACAGCCAGTTGAATTAAGAACGGAGGGTTTCGACGGCCTTCTAGTTCCCGCCAATTAGAAGGAGTAGGATCAAAATCTTCTCTGCAATTGTTCTTAGAAAACTGAAACCATCGTTTCTACACGGCTTTGCACGCATGCACCCATCCCATTGAGCAGCTCCTCCTGTCGATGGTGGGAGACGACGCCTGGGTTGATTTCGCCGCGGGCGGTGGCAAGGCTAACTTCTATAACGCCACTGAGCTCGACGCGATGGGAGAGTCCGGCAACCGCGTGGATGGTCGCGATCTCATCGCCGAGGCTAGCACCGCCGGCGTCATGACGGCGCAGACCAAGGACGAGTTCATGGCCCTCGACTTCGAAGACGGGTAATCAGCAGAGCCGAGGGGGGGGGGGGGGG